TCACAATTGGTTCAGTTGTTATGCCACAACACGGAGTGCATGGGTGTATGTGCATGCACGCGTAATGGATCATCGCCTTTGGAGCAGCTAGAGAGACCAGCTGGAGTTGAGAAGTCTCAGCCTGTGTTGACATTTTTGAGGGAAAACAAACCATGACAGGTGTGAACATTCCCTTGTTTCTGGTTTTATTCCAAAAACTCTGCTAATTTTGCAACAGAAATGTAAACGTTATAGTCCCTGTGCTGAAAAGTGCATTTTGTTGGCAAAACTCGAAGTTGGGAGATTTATGATGTGAAAGCGAGCTCTCTTACAAACACCTTCTCCCTCTGAAAAAGCATGTTATATGCATACAAGAAGGAGGGGGCCATATATAGGTTTGATTTCTCCTTGTTCCCCACTGCCCTGCACCCCCTTGCTCTTTCAGCAGTCTAGCCCCAGATGCCTTTCTCTGTGTGCCCTGTCCCCTGCTGTATCCTATTCGCGTGAGCTCCAGAATCGTCCGTGAGCCCGGTGCTGCAGCTGGCAACTATGAAGGAGTTAATCTGCTGCTGCCTCTGCTCTCTGACTGTTGTTTTGACAAGTATCTCTGGTGATTTGAGTCCCTAACTGCTCCCAGTGCTTATAAAAGGGAGCAGCCAGGCTCCCACGTGTTTGCCTAAGGAGAGAACACAAATTTGCCTCTTCCTCGGATAGCTTGTGCCTACATAGAGACTTTTTTTCCAACTATTTCATTACTTGCATTGTCTTTGTTAACTTCAGAGCAGTGCTCGGAGGGTAGGACTTCTGAGAAATTCTACTTTGGAAAAGGTTATTTTGAGTTTTTGGAGAAAGGAGAAATGATTTTGTGTTGTGTCTGTGGGTTAGTCACTACAGAGGGGTGTTCAGGATAAGGAAGCCTTTGCTTGAAATGTAAATATCATGTCAAAGTCCTTTTTGTCTGTGTTGTGTAATAAGTTTTATGTTTGTCCATTTTAACTTGAAGCTTTTTATCTTCTTTTTCTATTTTATTCTGTTGGGACCAATAATGCTCACATGTCTTTCTGCTTACTCAGCTTTGCAAATGCAGCCAGTTGCTGTCATAGATCACCGTTGTTTTTGACATGGTCTGCCTGATTTGTTTCTTCCCTTCTTTCTCCTACCCACTCCCCCACCAAAGTGACAAAGAAAGCATCTTTATCTCCCCTCAGAAATGAAAAGCATCAATTTTATTGTTGTTTTTTTGCTTATTTAGAGTACAAATTCCAATCAGTAAAAAGGGGTAAAGAAAGGGAGGAAACCTTTTTTGACTGGCTCTATAGATGGTTTTCAAATCAGAAAAAAAAAGATAGTTTAAAAGATTATTTTTTTTATTGAGTGAGTACTGCCTGTATTTAAAACACAGTTGCTGTTTGCAGTGGCACGCAGAACTGGTACTTGTTTCCTAAACCAGTGTTGTCAACTTTGGATCTGCGTGGAAGTCTTTCCAAAAGAGAACATTATTTTTTAATTGAAATTCCAAATTCCAAAGATACCATTATTTGGGATTTTGTTAATACTTCTGTCTTTAATTTCCAAAATAACTGTATTTAACTTAATGTTACTTGTCCTAAATGCTTGCTAAGACCCTCTCATCACGTTTAATTGGGAGCAAGGGCATCTCAATCTTTCAGAAAGTCCTGTGAGTAAAGAACAGGTGATATTTCTGCCACCCACTTGACTTTACCATAGCTGATGTATACTAGACATTGCATAGTACAGACATGCAGTTTCTCCTGGGCAGATAAATTCCCATACCCACAGCACCAAGCTGCCAGGTGCACGTGCCAGTTTGGGTGTAAGAACAAGTGCATGAGGTTTGGTGTATAAGCCCCAGTCAGGGGTGGCTGGGCTCCTCGTGCCCATGGCTGCTTGAGGGTGAGGTGTTGATGCTCTTTGCTTGGGAGGAGAGCAGGCCAGTGAGGGGGATCTAGTTGTGGGTGTGCAGCGGTGGGGAGAGCTGTTGCGTTGTACACACACGGATCAGGCTGTGGTGCCAGCCGTAGTGTGCCTGCTGTATATTCAGAGCTTTTGGTATCAGAGCTGCTGGGGCTACAATCATAGCTCAGGGTGTTGTATAGTCCCCTTCTCCTACGAAGGCAAAGCTGTCATTGCCTTAATGTCTGTTGCATTCCTTGTACTTGAAGTCTAGCTAGTGCACTGGGGGGTGAAAAAGCCTTTATGAATATTGAGATGGCATTACTTGAGGCTGCTGACGATTCGAGACGTTGGTCTCAGAGGTTACTCTTAGCTGTGGCCGTTTTGCTGCTTTTCTGACCAGAGTCAGTGGAGTGCAGGGGAGGTGTTTGCTGTTTCCTAAAGTCTCCCTTGCCCTTGTAGCTGTTAGGCTTCTCTAGCAATTTGCCTTAGATTAGGTGAAACCCTTTTTGGTCACTACCCAGGAAGTACTCTTGAGCCTGAGCGTGCGCTTTGTGGTGGAGAGCAAGAGAATTATAGTGTGGGTTAACCACTTGGAGTGGCCAGTGATGGAAGGCAGAGGCATGCACTGCCAGGCTCCAAAGTACAGCTTATTACTCAAATTTTATCTGAGTCATTTGGCTAGGATTTCTTCTGCTGCTAGCCCTCTGTCTTGGAGTAGTGCCCAAATTGGTTATAAGCTTTGGGTATGGTTTACTTAGGCTCTCTTCCCCTTCCACTTTCCAACATAAACTCTGCCAATTGCAGTCTCCTGTATATGACTGACCATGGTGTATTTTACTGCGCTTTTCATTCATGGAGCTTTAAAAGAAGGAGGTGAGACTCTGCGTGGGATTGCAGGTGTGTGTGGAGGGGCAAACGTGCAGGGTGGTGATCAAGACACAGACATTGCCCCCTTGGCAATTTTCAGGAGATTAGAAATGAAGTCTTGGAAGAAAATGTTTTTTGACGTTTCTGGCCCATCTTATGCTATAAGAGCTGATGAGTAGTTTCTGTTAACATAGGAACATGAGGAAACTTTCCTTTCCCAGCTGACTTTTCTTGCAAATCACTGTTATTACTAACCTAAGTGCCAAATCTTTGGTTTCTTCTCTTTCCTATAATGTGTGCTGTTACACACAGAGGCCAGCTCGTGCTTTTCTAGGTGGGGGTGATGGAGTGCTAATTACATTTCGTCTGCTACTACTGAAGGAGAACAATTTTGGCTCAGAACTGTACTGTTAGGAATGGCGATCCAGGCTTTTGCAGTTGATAGGATATGGGGCTGCTTTTTTTTTTTTTTTTTTTTACTTTACTACATACACAGGTCTCTAATATTATTGCAGATTCAGAAGTGTTCATTTGATCTTTTTTGACTTTCTTGCAACAAGAAGCATTCATCACCTGTATGTGCTGGTTTTTGTGTCCCCTTCTCTATTCTGGTCTGTATGTTTTATCACCTCACATAAAAGGAGATGCCTCTGCCTTCTGTATTCATCCAACCTAAAGAATTTTGGGGTTTTTAAAAGGTAGAAAAATCCTTTGAAAGAACTTTCATAAGAATATATCTCCCTGTTTTCCATTCAGCATCCTAATTTCTAACCCTTTTGAACTCTACCACTGTTTTCCAGCTGCATCTCTGGGCTTCAGAAGCCACAAACTCTACAGATGGCATTTCTGCTGCTGTCCCATGCTGCTGCCACTCCTTTCTCCTTTTCTTTATCAAAAGTAATTGGTAAAAGCAGCATTTTCTGTTGCCCTGAAATGGAAAGTCAAGAAAGGATGTCTAGGAACAAAATTTGCTCTCTCCATACTGGGGACAAGACACTCTGCTGTGTACTGCTGCCTGACCTGTGGCTCAGGGAGCAGTTGAAGGGAGGGAGGCATTTGGAGCCCAGAGAGTAGGGAGAGTTCTCTCTTCTTAGCTGCATCTGTACTGCTCTGATCACGTGAAGGTATTTGTCTTAAGTACACGTATGAAAGACCAAATGCAAGATTTCTTTTTTGGTGTCTAAGACTCAGCTCTCTGACATGAAAATCAACAGCACAAAGAATGTTTGCATCAGGAGGGATTTTTGCCCGGAGTCTCCTTAGAAGGCCCAGAAAGGATCAAAATATGGCAGAGAAGTACGGCTAGCTGTTTGTGTTTCTGCTTTTGGGGCAAAAATATAATTGTCTACTGATTCCTAAAATATGTGGCAAGCTGGTCTGCGCTGGGCTCCTAAATGCTGCAACCTTATGAAGAGGGTGGTATCAGAATCTCACAGACACAGAATGAGGGAAAAATGGATTTGAAGTCTAGAATCAGATGTGTGATGAGTTCTTGCACAAGGGAGCAGAGAATGACTCTTGTGTGTGCAACTTCAATTGTGATTGTACCCTGAGTGCCTAAATGTGCAACTTTTGTATTCCCACTTCCTTAGCGGGTGGAACTGGGGGGAGGGGGGGTGGTTGGTGTGGAGTATCAAGTAATTCTGCACTCAGCTAGAACACTAGAAGCAGCTCAGCCTTCCTCGCTCCTGCTGTTTCTTTATATAGCTTTGTACTGTGATCTGCTTTATACAGTACTGATTTAAAGTTGTCATACCAGGTTTCTCATCTCGTGGGCTGTGTTTACTCATTGTGAAAACTGCTGCTTGAAGGCAAAACACTGCAAAATGTAATCTTGACAAGTATCTTGTTGCTCTTGTGGGGAGGGCATAAATATTACCCCATGTAGTTCAGTTTTGGGGAATGTGTAACAATCTCACTATTGCTTATTTCCCTTTTCCTGAGAAGTTTCACCTGGCATAAAGGTGATCTTTGTAGGGTTGTTTGTGTGTGTTTTTTTTAACTTGTCTACACCTGGTTTTTATAAGGCAGGGAAGGGAGAATATGCCACAGCAAAGTAAGTCCAGAAAGTTGGACTGGCTGAATTCCTGCAATACTGCTACTTTGGGAAGTAGCTGTAAACTGTGTGTTCTGCTCCAGCACCCTTTCTTTAGGAAGAACCTGAGTGTGTTGGATGTCTCCTCATCACAGTACCAGGAAACTAGCAACTTCCCTTTTATCTGATTCTGATTTCCTCATTTTCTCAGTTTCTCATTGTAAGCTTGTATTTTTTGTCTTGGGGCTGTGCTCCTAGATGTGTAATTTTCCCAAACCCTGTAATTAAGGGATTCTTGGGATTGAGGAGCTGGCAGACTTGAAGAATGCTGAAGAAAGGAAAGGAAACTGAGCAGTAAGCATTGCTGACATTCGCGATGCCAAAGGGGCTGTTGGGAAGTGTCAAGGCTTCTGATAGGCTTGTACTCAGGTGAACTCATGAGAAGCAAGGGAAAAAAACACGCGTGGAGGCAGAGGGGTAGGGAAAGAAGTGTGTCTATGGGGTGCTGGGGATGGAGACTTCTCATGTTACCACCAACTTTTTTGTTATGCAGTTTCAACTGATCTTGGGAGTTCAGCTGAATGTGTTTGGATTGCTGTTGGGGTGGTTTTTGAAGGAAAATAAAAGAAGCTACACTAGGTGCTGCTGATTCAGTTAGCAGCAGCTTTCGTCACTAGTCAAGAGTACTTCAGCAGTGTCCTTGTACCCTGTCGCAGATCCAGTGTAAAATTGGAACTCTGAGTCTTGTCTGACTAATATCTTTACTCCTGAATAAAAAAAGTCCTGGAGGTCTTGTCACAGTAAGACCTGAGTATTGCAGTATCTGTTCAGTATTTGATGTTCGTTTGAATCCTTGCATCTTGACCCAAACTGTGTACTGATGTGTGTCTGCTGTTGAGTAGCATTTTGGGATGTCCATACGTGTTTAGATAAATGTGCTGGGATTTCTCTCAAAAAAAGTACTTGGCTTTATTTGCAGTCTTCTAGATTGAAAGGTGCTGCAGAAATATCTGCACCTATTTATTAACCCCTCTCTTGCTGCTTGTTTCCTTCCATCTTCAGATTACACGCTTACAGTGGAGGCAGTGAAGTTGAAGCCATTCTTTGTAGCAGGCCACACCTTCGAGATGACATGCAAAGTGTCTTCAAAAAACATCAAGACGCCACGCTATTCTGTCCTCATTACAGCTGAGAAGCCACTAACGGATCAGTCAAATCCCAATGGAACCACTCGCATAATCTCCTTGAACCAGGATTCAGTAGTGCGGCTGGAAGACTGGACGGACCAGACTCGTGTGGACGGCGTGGTTCTGGAGAAGGTCCAGGAGAATGAGTTCCGCTACAGGATGTATCAGACCCAGATTTCTGATGCTGGGCTGTATCGCTGTGTGGTGACTGCCTGGTCTCCAGGTGGTGGTGGCATGTGGCGTGAAGCAGTGAATGGCTTATCCAACCCTATCCAGATAGACTTCCAGATGTCAGGTTGGTATAGAAACTGGCAGCTGTGTGCCTAAGTCAGGAAGGGGGAGAGTTCGTTGCTCTCCTAGTGGTTTCCCTGTCTTTGGGAAATACCTACTCTTTGGAAAACAGAAGGGTTCTCCAAATGATATGATGGTTGAGAGCTTTGCTTGTCTACTTTGGTGGTACTTGTGTCCTTTGTGCAATTGATTGCTTATAGAAAGATGTTTAATTAATTAGCTGTAATCATAACTCCTGGGTTTTTCTTTACTAATGCAGCTTTTACAGTCCTGCAGGCTCAGACCTGGTTCTCAGTATGGAATAACTGCTGCTGCGTTTCCCAGCTTTATCACTAGGTTGCTATTAGGTAGCGGCTACTCTGGAAGAACATTAATATAAACTAGGTTTCTGTTCCAAAACAGACTTGATTAGCATAGCATTAAAGTGCCTGAGCACACCTTCCTGTTGATGTAATTGCAGAAAATGGTCAGGTCAAGGCAATGGTAACATTTCAGCCATCTCAGCAAGTGTATCCTGCCACTGGAAGACCTTAGAGGCCTCTTGTGGCTGGATTATGAAGCTCCACAAATTGGAATGAATTTCAGAAGTGTGTCCCGTTCCTCTCATCCTTGCTGAAACGCTCGCCTTCAGCCGCAACATAGCCTGCCTGTTGAGGTTTTTCTAGAGAAGCATGCCTGTTCTGGTATATTGTTGGGGGGAGGGAGAGAGGGACAGGGTTGGTGTGGATCATCAGAGATGCATGTTAACACTGACTTCTGTGTGAGCGGGAAGTTCTGCAGGGTAGTTTTTATAATGATGGTGCACTTAAGAGTGAGGGGCTCATCTCATTGTTTGATAAACAAGCTGGTGACTTCTTGAGCATTTGTGAAGAGCTCTCAGTGTAGCCCAAAGGTGCATCCTATGTTGGAACTCTCTAGTTAGCTGCTTTATCTTCAAACCTTCTGCACTCCTCCATTTCTATTCACAAGCACAGCTTGGGAGAAGGTCTCTCTTCACATCCTTTGTTCTTCATGTGAGTTATTCTGCTTATCATAGAATAGGGTTTTTAGAAGATGTATCGGTGACTAGGCAAGAGCAGCCTGACTTCTGGTTGCATCTGTAAGTAAGGTAATAGTTCTCTACAAATGATTTCTAAAAACTGAATTCCTTATACTATGCACACTGGGAAAAGGACAAGGGCTGAGCATAGGGAGACAGCCTTGCAATAGGAACATCACTTTGTAAAAAGCTTTGAAATGTAGCATCCTGATACAAACCCTAATGAAGATGCAGCCTGACCTAAGCTGACCAGAGAGGGGACATTAACTCGACTCAATGCTTCTCTCAGTTCTAGGTAATTTCTGGTTGGCTTTTCGTTTAGTTTTATGGTAAGTTACTGTTCTGAAAATAATCTGTTAGTTGCCTGTGTTCCAAATGCTTCTTAAAGCAGCATTGTCACAGCTGAATATTGCTGTAGATCTGTTGTCTTCTCAGGATGGTTTAATGGGCTATAGTTTTAGCCTTATTACTCTTGATATCTGGGTCAGACACAGTGGGAGAGCAGCATTTGCAAAGGGGCAATGCAAGAAACCAGCAAGAATGAAAACTGTCCCAAACCCCTCCCCTCCAAGCTCTTACGTGAAGGCTTTCCTGTGCAAAAGTGGTGGTTGGTGACTCTCCCAACATTGCTCACGTTATGTCACTTTGAACTCCTATCCAAAAATTTTGGCAGCGTGCTATTAATACCCATGGTTCAGAGGGAAACCTGTGAGCTATGCAAGGGAGGAAAGTGTGCGTGTTGCAGTCTTGACTTTTTTGCTGTTGCTCTCTACTCCCAGCCTCTTCACCCAGATAGGATTTCTGGTGTATAGAGCAAAGAAAGGGAGGCAGCCTGTAGCACTGCCCTGGGAATGTGTGAATTCCAGTAGCAAGGCTGGAGCAGGGGCAGGGATGGTCCTGAAGCCCTGTCAGCCTTTCATTCTTTACAAAAGAATGAAGAGAGAAATGAGATTCCAGGCACAGTTTACTGGAGAGCTATTTCCCAAAATAATCTTGGCATGTAGCAAAATCTGGCTGGCCGTATCTTCCTTTCTTCAATTGGTGGATGAACTTTGTGTCCTTCAGTTGTTACTCGGATATCCTTGCTGGACATTCAACTCTGGGCATGAGGAGGACATGTGATGAGCACAGTTAGAATGGACTAACTGTGGACTTATTATTTGGAAATTTGTTTGGAATCAGGTATACAAGACGGAAGATGTTTGGTGGGTGTGTCACTTTGGTTTTGTTTGCTGAGGTGTACTGTCTTTGCAAACTGTGACTGAGTCGGGCAGCTGGAGGACAATGGCAAAGTTGTGGAGCAGCTATAAAAGCACAGCTCAGATATCATGCCCTTGTCTTACATCCTGTGGTACACGTAGCTCAAACTTGTTCTTCAGAAGAAGAAGCTGGTGCCGGATTTTTTCTAATGGGAGCGGTGAAAGGTGGAAGTGCTGAGGTAGCTAGTGGTTTCTAGGAAGAACGAGAGGCCCTCCAAAACTGGAGGGAAGATACTAGCAGGAAAGGGTCAGAGAAAGCAGAGGTGACTCTGTCTTTACAGTCTTCAGGTGACTGTAAAAGCCGGGCAGCGCTGCTCTGCTGAATCCCGAGCTAAACGGGTGATGAGTATCTTGTGAGTTTGTCCCTAACAGTGCAATTGACTCATTAACAGTTTTCCTGACTTTTGGGGTTCTCAAAGTATGACAGCCATTTTAGCTGTGACTGTTGCACAGGGCAGGTATGTAATAAAGCAGTACAACTTTGAAAAATAGAAGGTATTCCAGTTTCCTTCCTACTTTGAAGGCTTGGACTTTGACAATGTTTTTCAGCTTGCACTGCAGGGATGAAGCGGGGAGGTGATCAATACGGAAGCAGAATTTTCAGCAGAACGAAGCCCTTAAAGGGTTTTACATGAAGCTTTTAGTCACAGGAGGAATTTCTTTCTCAGTTGTTTTTATTGATTTCTTTTTGATAGGGGGTGGGGAGGCTTGGTAGGATTGGAAATCCTTTCTTCCAGTTTGATTCCCTCCCTGATCTCTGAGTTGAGTGATGTTTCAAGGAGGGGTTTTTAGTGTGCATACGCGTTGTGCAATGCGAGCTATCTGAATGGCAGGAGGCCTGTAAGCGCTTTTTATATATGAGCTGGGGACTGTGTGCATGAAACTTCAGTGTTTCCTGCCACAATAGGCTTGAAATGTGGCAGTGCTCTGAAATGTTTTTCCATGAACATCTGTGGAAAATGTCTTGCTCAGATTCTTTCCGTTCAAGGCAGAACTTGTTGGCTGCAAGCAGAGACCTCCTCTCTTCTTTCTCCACTTGCTGTTGCAGAGGGACGTATTTATTCCATTTGGTTAACGATCTGAAATGTTAATGTAAAGGCATTTGTTTGAAACTTCCTGCACTAAAAAAATGAAATGTGGATTTTGTCCACTGAATGATATAAACTGGAAGTCGGGGAGGGGGTGGTGGTAAGGAGGAGCCTGGTAGATCATTAGTTTTCAAATGTTCAATCAATGGCAGATTGTTCTCTGCTTGGATATATTTTAAGACCAGAGAGGATCTCGTGAATCCTGTGGTCTGGCCTAATGAATAACATGGATCACTAGACTAATTTCGTAAAACGAATGCCCGTTGCATGTCCGGTAGCTGTAAGCAAACTAAGCTTATTTGGGGGGCAGGGTGAAGCTGTCCTATATGAAGACTTTAATATTTTTCATTGCTTCTTTTTGTTTTTCCAGTCTAGCACAAAAGTTCTGCCATCTCTTTTTCAAAGGTTGCCCAGCAATGTGAGGGACAGGAGCAGCTGCTAGTGCTTCTCTTGAAATTTCCTCTTAATTTCATTGGGTCTTTTCTGCTGAAACTCAAATGTATCTTTCCTCCTGAGTTATTGGGTGATGTATGTGTACATAGTCTTTTTTTTCAGCCTGAAACACACCTGTCTTCTGTTCCTTGCTGTTCTTCTGAAGCCAGTGTATCAAGGCAACTTCTTGTAAGACTTGTGATCCTACTCACCCAACCTGAAATCTCCCGCTTGTCTTCTGGCAACCTGGAGGTGTTGCTCCAGTGGCAGTGTCTTTGCACTGCAAGGGCTGAGCAGCAGATCATGGAATCATAGAATGGCATAGGCTGGAAGGGACCTCAGAGATCATCTAATCCAACCTCCCTGTCATGGGCAGGGATGCCTCTCAACTAGATCAGGCTACTCAAGGCTTTGTCCAACCTGGCCTTGAACACCTCCAGGGAGGGGGCATCCACAACTTCTCTGGGCAATTTATTCCAAAGTCTTACCACCCTCGTACTGAAGAATTTCTTCCTAAGATCTAATCTAAATCTGTTCTCCTTCAACTTAAACCCATTTCCCCTTGTCCTATCAGTGGACACTCTTGTAAAAAGTCCCTCCCCAGCCTTCCTGTAAGTGCCCTTCAGGTATTGGAAGGCAGCTATTAGGTCCCCCCGAAGTCTTCCCTTTTCAAAGCTGAACAATCCCAGCTCCCGCAACGTGTCCTCGTAGCAGAGGTGCTCCAGCCCCTGGATCATCTTTGTGGCCCTCCTCTGAACACGCTCCAACAAATCTATGTCTCTCTTATGGTGGGGACACCAGAACTGGATGCAGTATTCGAGGTGGGGTCTCAAAAGAGCAGAGTAAAGGGGGAGAATCACCTCTCTTGACCTGCTGACCATGCTTCTCTTGATACATCCCAGGATGCGGTTGGAGAGAGGCTTTTTTTTTTCATGCTCCCCTTTGCCCACAGCCTTAGCTGAGTGGCCAACAGAGGTGGAAGTTATATAGCTGGGAATTTGCTTGAAGTCAGAATGCTTATCTGATGCAGATCTGTGTACTGGTATCTGGTTCAAATGGCTCCAGCTGGCCTGCATTGTTAATGCTGAGGCACTTGGTCTCTGTGAAATCCACCTGGTTTGTCCTGGTGTCATAAATTTTTCTTTGGCATTTGTCGTTTATTTTCTATCCCTTTTACCCTGAACCT